ATTGTTTATAACATTGCTCAAGAAATCCATTCATGGTTAACATGTTTACCCTGAATGACACTGAAACATAAAATATATCCAAATCCAGAGGCTGTCCAATTACTTCAACTTAAAAAAAGCAGACCATTGAGAGAGCATTAAAGAATATGGAATCGCAGCTTTCATCATACAGCATAGTCCAGAGCACTTGAAGAATTGCCAGCAGTTTTGTTTCCTGATAACCTGACTGAATAAGAGAAGCTTATTTGCTGTGTGTTGCATGAATACAACAGCTGGGTGATGCACTTTAATCAGCTTCAACATGTTCTCATTACACCGGACCATTAACATTAAGGTCCTTCCCATGTGCAAACTCAGTGCTAAGCCAAGTTCAGTTTCCTGCCCCCGTGTCCCTGCAGTTCAGCACCCATAGGGCTTCGGAATTTGACAGTGAACTTTTATTCCATAAGAAATGTTATGAAACGTTAGTGAGGAATGAATGAGGGCAAGGTACTAATTGGCTGTCATTTCTAAGGCATCCCATTGGCTGGCTGGAGGGAAGCCTGATGGGGGGGGGGAGAAATTAGGGGGGGTCACTTGCCTTGGAACTCTGAAACTGTCCTGGGTGATTGAGCGGTAAGGATAGCAGAATCAGGAATAAAAATGCAGGATATTCTCCAAGATCCAGGAAATCCTAATATGGGTTTGGGTGAGAAATGTGTACTTGTATACTTTTAATGCTATTCCCTTTCAGGATAAGCAACATAATGCCAAGTGAAGAAAAGGCAATGGATGAAATAGCAAGCCCCCCCCAAAATTAAAGGCATAAAATAAGAAAAAGGAAATTCCTATATTACTTTTTCTTCTGGAAATTCATACATCACTCATTTTTAAGCATCACTTTCTCGGTCTTCCCTCTTCCCCAAAATCCATTACCTTTCTTTTTCTTTCTTTCTTTCTTTCTTTCTTTCTTTCTTTCTTTCTTTCTTTCTTTCTTTCTTTCTTTCTTTCTTTCTTTCTTTCTTTCTCTTTCTTTCTTTCTCTTTCCCTTCCTTCCTTCCTTCCTTCCATACATTTGTTGTACAGTTCTGCCTTTTGATTTTTCCTTGTACTCTTAACATGTACACAATTCTACTCTTTGACATATTATTAACCCCAAAATCTCTAAAACACTCAGCATTTCTTCACTCATTTAATCCCAAATGTTATCACTTTTTCTTTTAATTATATATTCTCTGTCCCTGTATAGCAGTGGTTAACCTTTTTAATGCCACGACCCCAACCAGTCATAAGTCGAGGACTAAACCGGTCGTAAGTTGAGGACTACCCAACCGGTCGTAAGTCGAGGACTTTCCCTGCCCGGGAGCGCTGCGCATGCGTGGTTCCGCCCCCTGCGCCGGCCGAGGCGTAGCTGGCAAGCGGCAGAGACGGAGCAGGCCGACCACCAGCTGGCCCAGCCCAAGGGAGGTAAGGCACCCGCCGGAAAAGGGGAAAAAATGGCGGACAAAAAAAATGGCGGACAGCCTTGCTTGGCGACCCCCATGAAATGGTCGATCGACCC